AGATCTATACACACTAACAAAATACAGAGCCTTTGGAAATGTTCGTTTTCCTAAAAGCCATGGGACACCAACAATATGAAAAATGTGTGAGCTCAAAATACACAAATTGGCAAAACTTAAGCAAAACATTGGCTTTACAGACAGGAATGGGAATTCCTTGTGAAGCAAGCAATCAACCACATCAACTGCATCAACTTTGTTTTACTTCATTTTTAGTCTTTCCCTCCCCATGTTTCTCCACAATTCCTTCTTGTATATTCAAAAGAAAGTTTTCTTCCTCTGAAATGAAGAAGACAGATATTTTCCTACTTGACCCTCCAGCTCTTTGCCCACTCTTTTTTTCCAAGTCAGCAGAAATGAGGAAGGACTGCAGCACTTGTGCCCAAGGCAATGCAAAGCTGGCAGACACCAACCACGTCACAGCCTCACGCAAAATCCAGGACTATATTGCAAATTGCCTGCAATGAGGTTCTCCTGCAACTCAGGTTTTTTTATTGGCAACACTGAAACATGCTTATTCTCACCTTTCCTAGTGGAAAGCTCCTGAAGTGAAACTAGAAGTAACTCTTCCATATGTATTCACTGTTTTTATTAATGGTTCTGGCCATGTCAACCTTCCCAGAAGATACAGCCAACAGGGAAGAGTTTCCTGAAAATTAGCTTGTTTCCCAAAATGTCTCATCTTGCAAGAAATTGAATTTAAGGGTTACTTCAACTGGCTAGGCTGCCACACAGGTCTGTTTCTTTTTTTTTTTTCCATACAGATTTACTCTTGGGAATGACAAAGTACTTTCTGTTTTGAACCCTCTTTTTATTAGCCCAAATGGATTTCCTTGGTTGTTAACAATTCAACCAATGCAATGTGGCTCAGAGTCACTGAGCCGAGAAAAAGAGCAGGGTCGTGGCACACGAATCATCCCTCCCTACCCTCTGCCATACCGCTACTCCACGCACACTTCCATTTTTGACACTGACATGACACCAAGAACCCTCTTTCTGGGCTGCTACAAGACCCCTCACATGCATAATATTTGCTAATTACTACCCAAAACGTGGTTCTGTTTTGCTGGTGGTGAAAGATGCATCATCCCTACGAGGATTCACTTCGTCATTTAGACACTGTACGCAGGAGAAAGCATGAATTACCAGTGTTAAACTAGCAGGTTGCCTACAGTCTGTCCTAGCAAGGCAAAGTGAAAACGTAAAATATTTCCCATGAGATGTGCTGGTGATTATTGACTCATTTTTGTGTATTGGTTTTTTTTGGCACGTTATTGCTTGGCTTCAAACGCAAGCCTGCAGGACTTCCATGCCCACCAGGCAGCGTCACCCACATTCTGCAGTTTTTCTTTGCACTCGTATTTTCCCAGAATACAAAAGCACAGTGTTCTGCTGACCACTCTGGTTTTTCCAGTTATGCCCAGGCAGTTGTTCAGATGCATCCACTTAGTAACCTGCCTGTCGGTGTTTTGTGGTACGTTATGTATTGGTACAATTTTCCTGGAAGAAAGGTCAGTCAGGGTGGGAGTTGTCAGTGGACTGGCTGGTGAAGACTCACAGCTGGAGGCAGCTGCAGGGAACCAGGAGAGATCTCCCATTCCTCACGAAGAGTTAATTCCAGTGCTGGCCCAGCACCCTGCTCATTCGTTGCCAAGCCCAGTTTGGTCTCAATAAAGCCACTCATACCCACGTGCTAGAAATGTTTTGGATAGGTTAAGCTAAAGGATAAAGTTCATGGAAATCGGTGAATGCGCGATAGCCATTTATTCTCCTCTGGAAAAAAAGAAAAAAAGACAATCCATTTCTATATTCAGACTGAGCATATTTGTAAAGGGAGAGTTCAGAGTAAGCTGGCTCACGACGCTACAGCGAGGGGGACAGTGGAGAGAGGGACACGTGCTAAGCCAAGGGAGACCTTCTCAGGAAGACAGAGGAGAAGGGAGCAGCAGAAGGGAGGCGAAAGGAGCAGCACAAAGCCTTGGACCTGGACAGGACACAGCAAACACCACGGACAACTCGGGGAACCTCTTCAGGGCTGACACAGACACAACGTGGGAAGAGACATTGAACTTGTCAACTAACCTGACCTAAGGAGACTGCCAGTATTAATCCCACACAAAATTTCACAGGAAACTCACACCTCAGACACTGCTAGGAAGGAGAGGGAAACAGTAGTACTAATGGAAAAAAAGGCAGGTAACTTTCCTCCTGGTAGGCAGAGGTGGGAAGACACTCTCTTATATGGTATTTCAGACTCAGCAATGTAAATAAATGACATACAGAAATGGAACAAGGATGTGCCATAAAGTCCCCAAATATATACCAGAGGAAAACTGGGAGTCAATTCAGTACTACGCCTAGGGGCAACACCTTTCACTGAACTGAGTTAAAATACCGTATCTTACAGTATTTTACCTCTCTGCTGGGGAAAAATTGCCCCTAAACAGCTGCTTTAAAGGCTTGGCAATTGACAGACTCAAAAAGTCTGGCCTTCTGAATAGCAGGGGACCACCTCAGGTCTGCTTCACAGAAAAAAATGAAAAAAAGAAAAAAGGAAAAAAGATATTAATACTCACACTGTGTAAACCGGCAATATTTACAGAGTAAGTTGTAAGAGTAAGATCTACAGGATTAAGTCAGGTGTGTGGTACTAGAGACAGAAATAAATTATCATCATGATTCATGACTAATCTTTAATGGAATAAAAATAACCCCTATTTAACTCTGGTACTCTGCAGGATCACAATATCCAAATCCTCAGTGCTTTGCAGAATTGAAAACCAAATTTTCTACAAACTGCAGGAGTTCCCCAGACTCCCATCATGAACTGTCGTGGACAGAATAAAAAAAGCTAATGGGAAACACATTTCCCAGGTTGAAAAATATTATTAAGGTGAGAAATGTGACCAACATACATTTGAGACATTATTGTATATCACACTTCTGGAGAAACAGTCACTAAGCTACCTTTTATTAGCAGTTTCTACAACTTTTCTAACATTAGAAATACAGTAAAGATTGTCTCAAGATTTCAGTACTTCTGTAAAATGTTTCAAGTTAACAATATAATGGTTTATAATATAGAGAGCATTAGGTATAACAAAATACGCACAGGCTAAATAAATGGTATTCGGTTTATGAAAGGCAGCAAGAAAAGCACCAAGTTGGGTGCTGAGCTGTTGGAGAGTAGTGTAGGGGAGAGGGACCTGGGGGTCCTGGTGGACAGCAGGATGACCATGAGCCAGCACTGTGCCCTCGTGGCCAGGAAGGCCAATGGCATCCTGGGGTGTATCAGAAGGGGGGTGGTCAGTAGGTCAAGAGAGGTTCTCCTCCCCCTCTACTCTGCCCTGGTGAGACCGCATCTGGAATATTGTGTCCAGTTCTGGGCCCCTCAGTTCAAGAGGGACAGGGAACTGCTGGAGAGAGTCCAGCGCAGAGCCACAAAGATGATGAAGGGAATGGAGCATCTCCCTTATGAGGAAAGGCTGAGGGAGCTGGGTCTCTTTAGCCTGGAAAAGAGGAGACTGAGGGGTGACCTAATTAATGTTTATAAATACGTGAAGGGTGAGTGTCAGGAGGATGGAGCCAGGCTCTTCTCTGTGACATCTAGTGATAGGACAAGGGGCAATGGGTTCAAGCTGGAACATAGGAGGTTCCGCTTGAGTATGAGGAAAAACTTCTTTACAGTGAGGGTGACAGAGCACTGGAACAGGCTGCCCAGAGAGGGTGTGGAGTCTCCTTCTCTGGAGACATTCAAAGCCCGCCTGGATGCGTTCTTGTGTGATCTGATCTAGGTGTCCTGCTCCGGCAGGGGGATTGGACTAGATGATCTTTCGAGGTCCCTTCCAATCTCTAACATTCTGTGATTCTGTGATTCTGTGAAAATACTAAAAAAAAAAGTAGAGTCGGCTAAGGACCTAAAAGAAAAAAAAAAAAAAAAAAAATCAGTGTAATCCACTAGATAGGTAGGCTCATGGACCCAGATGCACAGGATAGCCTGCTCCCATGGGAAAACATTACTGTGCATCTCTGGAGAGAGAAAAAAACCATCCATATCACTTCAATGAGCGATTTAGAGGAGAGGTGCTCAGCGCTGCGGGAGGCCGGGAGCAGGGGCTGAGAAGCCAGAAGGGCTCGCTGCTTTCGGCAGGCTTGGCTGGAGCGCCTTAGAGTGAGCAAAAGCACCGTCCTGTCGGCTGTGGGTACATCTCCTGACCTGCTCTCTCACCCCTCGCCTGCCACGCCTGCATCGCCTGCTTCTGCCTTAAGCGTGGCTGATGCAGGGGTGAAAAGGCCCGCAGAATATACCCCTCTCTCACCTCCCCGTCTAGCCATGAAAATCCCATTGACTTAACTTCTTCTTCCAGAGAGATAATCCCTCAGCCTTGATCCTCGCTCTGTGCCTGGTGCTCCATTTCAATGGGAAGGGAAGACCTGGCTCTCCAGGGCTCATGTGAGAACGGTGCCCCACAGTACCAGCAGAAGGGAGACTGCTCAGTGATCAGCGTCTGTAGCCTCTGCACGGACTTGCCTCAGCGTGGGTGACTTACACACCAGGAAAGCTGTCTTGCATCAGGTCTTTACAGCTGTTGGACCTTAGTTTCACCTCACCCGGCTTCCCCCAGCCCAGCCCTTTGCATAAGGCCTCGCGATGCACACAAATAACTTCCCACCATAATGCTGACAATCCCTCTGCTGCTTGCTTTATCAGAAGGTGCTGCTCTCCCTGCAGCAAGGTCGCAATTTCGATTTGTGCTTTGCTAAGTGCCTAGCTTTTCATCTGACAGCGGTCAGGGTGGGGGCGTAACGGGGAAACACACCAGCTGTGGCAATAATAACAGCGTGACAGAGCGCGCGGCTGCTCAAAAAAACAAAGGGGAATAATTTTCCACTGTTGCTGCATCACAACCCCAATCACACAACTGAACAGCAGGACTCGGGACTGGAGGGGAGGGATTCTCTCTACCACCGCAGACATATATTCATCCCTGCCAACCACGTCAGTCTAACACAGAAGAGGGAGCAGGTCGGACACAGCAATTAGGACGCCTAAAATTCTGCAGCATGGACTGGAACACATTGTGCTGCCTCCCTTTCAGTTTTTTATTTGAGGATGTATCCGAGGAAATGGATTTCCGGGTCTGGCTGTTCTGGGCCCGGATCAGTTTCTCGTGTTCCCGGATTTGTCTCTGTAAGTGGTTCTGGATGGCAATTCCCAGGGACTCTGGATCGAGGGAAGCACCGTAAACCTCCCACGTCATGCCTTGCTCATCCCAAACAACGTCCCTGACATGCTTAGACTGCTTCACCTGCACTTTCGCCTCCATGGCCGGGGTGGGCTGCTTTTTGTTTTCCCCTAAGAGCGGCAAGGCCTGAGCTGAAGAAGGGGGAGCTGCTGTGCGAGGCTCACGTGTGGACTCCTTAGCCTGGAGGCCTTGCTGCTGGGGAGCTGCTGGTGCCTCTGACGGAGGGCTGGGGCGTGCGGAGCTCACGCAAAGCTCAGGCGTCAGTATTGCCCGCAGGCCCTGGCCGCCAGCCATCTGAGCCTGGCCAGCACCTCCATGGCCTCGGCCCTCCTCCTGTTCACCTGCACCCTCTGAGCATGCCTTCACGCGGACAGAAGCGGGTTGGCTGCTAACATCCATCCCTCCTTTAGGATCGAGCACCACTGAGTTTTCTTCCTTGGGTTGTACCACAGATTGATTAGGAATGGCCTCCCCTTGACTCGCACCCTTGCATTGGGCAGGCTTTTGCTCAGAGCTGCCCAGGACCTCCTTCTGCTCCACGTCACTGTCTGTACTGTAGAGAGAAGGTAACCAGCTGCTTCCTGCGCCATGAACAGTATCTCGCATGCTGTTCTGGGTTCCTGGGACAGCAGCAGCAGATGCGGTGCTTGGCTCACCAGTGCTAGACCCAGACTGTGCTGGGGCTTGATCACTGGAGTCAGCAGCAAGCTGCTTACCAGGGATGGGCTTTGGTGGGACTGGAGCATCCATTGGCAGCCCAGCAGCACCCTTGCTGTCACGGGCTGCACCGACCCTTTCAGCATTACCCACCGATGTCCCCTGGGAGGCAACGGCTGCAGGGTAGGAGGGGAGAGCAGGTTTGGCATTATCTGCTGAGGCTGGAGACACCACGTCAGATGGGACCTCAGGCAGCTTGGCAGGCTGGGTGTGGGCTGAAGCACCTACAGCTGTAACAACAGTCAATTCTGGGGTGACACTGGGAGAACATGGGGGCTTTTGTTGTGAGGGGAAGCTGTCAGTAAGTACAAACTGGCTCAACCCCATACCTCCTTGGTAAATTATGTGCAGTTCTTCCTTCTCCTCCAGAGGACGATTCCCTTTTAAGAAGGCAGCAAGGATGCTGGGGCTGGTGGAGGCCGATTTGCTCTCCACGGTAGCCACGGCCTGCACCTCAGCATCTTGCCATGTCCTGCCTACTGCTTCCTGAGTTAAAGAGCTGCTCTCCGACTGAACTGTCATTGTACCCGTTTCTCTGAATTTGGAGAGCTGAGCATGGCTTGGACTCCCTGGCTCGGTGTCCACATTGTGTACGGGATGCGGACTCTCGTGGCCAGGCTGGGCTGGTGCCTCACTGCTCTGCACAGCTTCAGTTTTATCTGTGGGATGCAACTGCACGGTGTCTGCAGCCCCGCTTTTTGCCTCCAAACCAGCCTGTGGGTCTCTCCCCAGGTCAGCTTTGGTGTGCCTCTCTGGCAAGGCCGACTGACATGCAGCAGAACCAGTTTTTTCTGTTTCCCTGTCTTCTTCCCCTCTATGCAGAAGGTTTGCCTGAGAAGTACAGCAGGACTCACTACCCCTCATAGGGTCACCTGGGGAAGAATAATTTGACACCTCAAGTGCCGGCTGAACATCAGTCCCCTGAGGTTTCAAGGCAGAGTCATCCATTTGCATCAGGGAGCTTGTTTTCACCTGGCTGCCTTGCACAAACTGCCGGGAGCTCTGGGGGGCTGGCATCATCTCTGGCCTCCGCCCCACCGAGGGGGCTCCTGCTGCAGCGGGGACTGATGCTGCTGGTCCCCGGCAGCAACCAGCAGGCTCTACAGCCAAAGGACCCCCCTCCGCAGCTTTGCTGGTGAGCCCGGGAGGGCTAGCATCGTCCTTGCAGCATCGCTCGCACCTCTGCGTGCTGGCAGCCGCCATGCATTTCAGGTCGAACAAGCAAACGCCAGCAGAGCCGGACAGCGTGCACGGGAAGCCATTGCTGGCCCTCTCTCCACCGGGTAGTTGAGACTGGTGCTTAGCAGACTGCAGGTCTCCCAGGTGGTCCTCCTCAGCAGAAGCTGTGACCAGGGAAAGCTTGGCTGATCTCAGAGGATCTGGTACAGTCCCCATGGACTGTCTCCAAGATGTGGTTTGCTGTCAGCTGCTCCTTGGATTTTTCTCGCTGGGCAGCAAGTACACGAGGGAAGTTGTCAGTGACAGGTTTCCTGTAAAGTTAATCTGTTAATGAAAGAAAAATAGTGTTAGCAGCAGTCAGATTTAAGAAGAAAAAGTACCCAGAACAGATTGATTTTACAGCTTGGCAAAAAATACTTGCAGGCAAGGGGGAAGGTGAAGCACCTGATTCTGCCTAAAAGTCACATAAAAGACACGGATTTCAAGGATCTCCCAGTTCCAAGGTCTGGATGAAGAAGACAATACTAGGGACAAAGAAACAACAGCTGCCCTGTTGTTGGTAAATTAATGAAAGCATAATAACATGCCAAGACTGAGTAAAAAAAAATAAATATGAAGTGAAAGCAGGGATGAATGGGAAGGGGAGCAGACTTTGTATGAAAGTTTGAGGTCACAAAATAAACTCACTGTGATAAAATCCTCTAGCAAGGCACCTGTGGAAGGAAAGGTGCCACCTTGCCCGTTGTGCCTACGTGAAGAACAGATCTGATTCCCCCAGCATCCACTCTGTGACCCGAGGGGATCCCACACCTTTGCTGAGTTCCCCCGTCTTCTCACGGAGAGCCCTTCTCTAACTCTACTACCAACAAGGACGTCCTCCCAGGGGGCAACAGGTCAATTCCGACTAATGTGGATGAACCCAAACCTCCTGGGTGAAATGAACAGGGAGGGACAAGAAGCTGCTGGGTGGTGCAGATAAACACCAAGAGAAGCTGCTGCACTGTACAGCACCAGGGTTGCACACATACTTACTGCTTTCGTATTTAGATCCTCTGAAATAATTACAAAGAAGCCAGCTTGATTAATAAACAGTGGCACAGATGATCTAGAAATCAATTTACAAGCAGGTGGTATGAAACTGAAAAGGGGACAGTGCAGCGCTGCAGAAGACGAGGGGCCCATGCCATACCCAGTAAAAACACTGGGGAGGGATTTTAAGTGGGTGGAGCAGAGTTATCCAGGTTGAAATCCATCCAGGACCGCAGAGAAACTGTCACTTCAAATAGGAGGTGAGTGCCAAATGTGCTTGTTGGCTGGGTTTTCGAAAGGACTTAACACTGCCCAACTCAGATCCTGCTGGAGGTCAAGGGCTGGATCCCTGTCAGTGTCAGCAGAGCGGTGGTGGCCAGTGATGAAATCCCACCCCAGTCTTCTTTTAAATTGCAGGCTATCTATGCTTGTTTAAAAGGCTTTTCCCAGCTTATGCTGCCAGCAAAACATGAGTATGAGACTTCAGACTCACCCTGAACATTTATTTTTTTGTTAACCAGAGGGATGATGCTGGGAAAATGACTGTACCTCTGTGTGCCCATGTCTCTGCAGGCACACAGTGGGGTCTCCTTCGCTACGTTACTTGGGAGATGCTGCTGGAAGGAGCTGTGCAATCGTTCAGCAGTTCCAGACCCTCTCAGCAAAAGCCCTTTCCAGAAATCATCCCTAACTCTTTCTCTTTCTCTCAGGCTAAATGGCAGCTTCCCTAGTTTCTGTAAAATTGATCCAAAATTTCAGGACCTTAGGGCACTTAGAAAGAGCAACAGGACAAAAATGCCCAATGAAAGGGAAATTAAAACAAATACAGCCGGCCTATTTTTCTAAGAAAAGGAAAGTGCTGTGACTTATTACTTACTCATTAAGCTTTATGTCTTCCAGATATTAATAATTCACTATTTTTATACTGTCTCTTTGGGCTCTGTCCAACCACAGATATACACAGTCTGCTGGGTTAAGCGAGCCCTGGGAAGCTGTGATCCTGCCCCTGAAGGATCCCGAATTTCTTAGCTGCAATCTGTGACAGCAGCCCTGCATCACTCCACAATGGCTTTCCAGCAAGGCTGCCGATTGCAATGCTTTTTTAGAAGTACTGAGTTTATGTAAACAAGACTGGAAATCTGTGAAAGTCTGTGACCGCCTACAAGATGTCTCGACTTCTTTTTGCACTTGCTTTAAAGCCAGCCAATGTAGTCCTGAAGGAAAGGAAAGCTATTCCAAGCTGAACGTCTAACAACCGTGAGGAGAGGAGCAGATGGCTTTGGGTGTCTGTCTAACTTCTGTTACTGTCTTCTTTCCTTTTCCAAATATCGACACAAACAAAACCAGTGCATACAACTGGGGAGGTGCTTTTTCTTTTTTTTCTTTTTTTTTTTTTTCCCCAGATGCAGATTTAAGAGCAACTAACCAAATAATGGAACAAAACCAACCCCCATTTTTAGGATGAGACATGCTACCTGGCAAACAATTTCAGAAGTAATAAAGATGGCAGAGCAAATCTGTTTGGCTCTTCACTATACAAAAACTGGGAAAGGCAACATGCACGCTGAAGCACTGTCTTTAACTCATACTCAACAGGCAAACAATTCCTAATTTTTCAATTGAGTTAGCTCTGATCTGAACCCCCACATGAATTCCCCCACCTGTTTAGTGGCTCTTCAGCAGCATCAATAGAAACACACATTAAAATGACCAACAATGTGCTAATTAAAAGCGATTCTGCTACCGAGCCCTTGACATACAATGCCAACGGAGGAAATTCTGCCCCAAAAAACCCATGTGGATCCATCCTCTGGTGTGGGACAACAGAGCATAATCCAGACATTTTGCTTAGCCCTTGAACACAGGATGGGGCGCTGGGTCATGCTACTGCCTGGGACAACTCTGAAAATGAGTTCGTTTATGAGAATAAGATTTTATAAAGACTTTGTCGTAAAAGTCATGGGAGATATTCTCTTGCTGGACTCTTCACTAAGCCATCCTAATGACAGGAGCAAAAGGCACTGTAGTAGTCCAAATAAATGTGGTAATTTTTTACAATGTTCTTAAGAATTAATAAAAATCAGAATGAAATATAAGTCTTATGCAAGAGAAAGGCAAGCAGACTCAACTAATTACAGAATTGGAAAGACATTTATATTATTGGGAGTCTTATTTATGATTATTATTGCATTTTTATTATTGGAGCCCTATAATATAGGGGTGAAGAACAACACTGGGACCTGTGGGCAACACCATTCAACTGCCAAGGCAGCGAGGATTCAAACCAACAAGCAACACTGACTGCAAGCAAACACCTAGAAGACAGAGAAATACAACACTCAGTAGTAGGCCAAAAAACACATCAAAACAAATCAAGATCACTGATGAATTTTTCAAGTGTTGCATGCCTGACCTGGAGCAATCGTTCAAAATGTTCTTTTATCAGGAGGTGAAATTAGTATCTCCACAAAGGTCAAAATCAATTTTAGTAATAAGAACAGATTTTCTACACCAACACAGTTCTCTGTCACCTTATTCTTTCAGAGCAAATTATTCTGCCTGACTGTGTCAATCTCATCTCAACACAGAATTTTTCTGGACATTTTGCAACAAGAAGTTTCTAACTTTGATCAAAGTCTATGTTTCGCTTATGTTTGGCTTATATTGTCTGGGAAGGTCCCTGCATGGCCAGCAGACCTGCATGGACTCTTGTCAATGAGTAGGTCTTTTTTATGTGCTTTAAAAAACAAAAAAAAAAATCCCAAAACCCCAAACCTCAAGAATTTTCCAGACAACTCAATGCTGACAATGTAAAGAAACTCACGATTTATTTCAGTAGCACCCATGTCCCAGTAAAACAACACTACAAATTTCCGTTTGCAGTCAGCAGAACTGCTGTAACACTTCAGCAGATACTTCAAAACACCCTTCTACTCCCTCACTATCCAGTGAGCCAATATGACTCTACTCAGCCCAGATGGACAACAGCCTCTTGCTAGACTGGAGCAAATGCTGGAGAGGAAGTTGAGAAGGAGCTGGGACATGGCAGCCCCTCTAGGGAGCATCCAGCCAGGCACCAAGGGTGACAGGAGGAATTTCCCCGGGACCGGAGAGGACCAGGCAGTGTCATACAGCCCAGGGGCCCCTGTGCTCGCTGCAACCCTGCCCAGGAGGAAGGGCTTGCCTACAAGGACTTATCTTACCTGTTTATTTTTATTCTTCACTATATAAAAAATTACATGTCTAATTAGTGAGTTTTAAACTCTAGGTGTGTGACGGTTTATCTGAAAAGCCTTTCTATTATTCTTGTTATTTTTTGGGGGTAGGGACATTTGCTTTAGAAAAACGACGGATCCACTTGAAGACTCTAGCCAGCCCGAAGCCCTAGCACACACACAGACATGGATCCTCTGTAAGCCCTTCCCGCTCCTGGCTATCAGGAGTTTAAGGATTTTCTAAACTGAAGGACACACTTCAATCACCTTTGGAAATGAACGCACATCTGTTTACGAAACCCCTTTGCATATTTAGCCTAGATGAAATGCTGTGGCACTGCACACAAGCATGTCCCGTGAGAAAAGGACCTGTATTCGTACAAGCCCGGTCACTGAAAGTCTAAGCCACTCATTTTAGTATTAAAGCAAACCCCAAGGCACCCCCTCCACGCACACACTGCCCAACAGAATCCCACAGCCCCTCCTCAAACCCTTCCCAGCACCTGCTTCCTCCTGGATGCCAAGACACAGCCCATGGTGCCCAGCAGGTCTGCTTGCACAGGTGTTGAAAGGTGGAAAAGGCAGAGGGAAAAATGGGATAGGACCCCAAAAGGAAAAGCAGAGGGTAAGTACTTAAGAAAAATGTCAGGCTCTGCTTGTCCTTGCTCTGCAATGGTAATAAGACAAGGAAAATCGGGTGAAAAATCAACAGCAAGATGCACTGACATTTTTTGACAAAAAGAGACAAGTTCCAATTAGCCTGACAGCTACTGAAGATTTGTCTAGCAAGATTTTGTGCAAGCTGAAGAAATAAACTTCCTCTGGTAGTTGAATCCTCTCATCTTGCATCTCTCTGCCAGGAACAGGCTTTAACTCTGCAGAGTGCAGAGCTTGAGACCTCTGCTTCAGGAGGACAAAGCTCAGCTTAACCTGCCGCCCACAACCTGCAGATGATAAAATGGGTTAAGCCAG